TTTAAATGTAAGGAGTGCTATGTCCTATTTTATGATGCGTATATTTTATTTATCGATTGCTGATAAAAAAATTTATTTATTGATATAATAAGCCCCACTTATTTAAAAGTTTAACCTAATCCGATGGATTTAATAAAATTAATAAGAATTTATATAGGGAAGTGAAAAATAGAGTGAGACTCTATGCGTGTTTGTCCAGTACCACACACTGAATGGGCACAGATCACGTCAAGGAAGTGGTACCCATCTTGACCCATCAGAGACACTTGCTATGGTCCATTAGGCACGTAGACAAGTCCTTTATAGAGCGCAAAAGAAAGAGACAGCTGGATTTATGTGTTTGGTATGTATAATTTTACTCTTTATTTATTATTATGTTTGACTTTATTTAATACTATTAAATAGAAAAAAAATTAAAAAATTATTAAATTTTAAATGAGAGTTGATAAAATTAAGATTTTTTTTTTGTGTAAATATATGAAATATATTAAAAATGATTTATAAATATGACGATGACGAGATACTTTTGAAGAGAGTCCAACATCGACCCGCTATTTTGTGAGTGATTAACATCGCTGGTTATTGAGTCTGCTCTCCAAATGCGCTGAAAATGTGTCAGGCTTTCTTTTCTGTTTGTCCTTTTAAAAAATTGTTAGCTCATTAATTGGCAACGGTTCAGAGGCAGCACTGCGGCTACACCTAAATTGGACACCAAAAAAAATATTATATATTTTTAAAATGTCAGTCATTTTTTTCACTATTTTCGCTCCTCTCCTATGTGATTTGTTATGGTTAAAAATTAATAAATATATCTTATATTTAAAACTAAAATTAACTCAATAATTAGGCCTTCTATTTAAAAAGTGAAAGAGTATTAGAAAACTGTAGTAAAATAATTTTTAAAAATTATTTTATTAAAAAAAGACCAATAATTTCATTCATAATGAGACTTAAATAACACGATTTTTGGCAACTGAAATTTTGGCTAAAGTATGCATTTATCTTTTAAGTTTATATCAAAATTTAGTTTAATTTTTTATTTTTAAAAATATATTTTTAGTCTTTTAAACTTGATTAATTTTATTACAGAAAATGTTGATTCAGTCATTTACTCATTTTAAAATGATAACTCCGTATCCAAATGCTAACATATTATTTTTTTTAATTTACAAATATAAATTTGGAAATATTTAAAAATAAATCTTTACTTTTGTCAACAATTTATATGCAATTTAATAATGATGAAACAAACAATTTTCTTTGCTTACTTTTATAATCGAAAAAAATATAATTAATATTAAGTAATTAATAATTAATCAGAATAATCAATTATATTTAAATATAAATTATTTATAATTATATTCTAATTTTAGAAAATTTTATTATACATTAGAATTGAAAAATAAATAATCTATATGTTTAACTAAAAATTTAAAAGAATATCAACATAAGATTATTATAATAATTTATTATTTATATAATATTATTATTTATAGAATAAAGAATAAAAACTACAAAGACCTAATTAAAATAAGGTAAAACAATAAGGAGCTAATAAAAGAAAAGAATTATAAGGACTGATTAAAAAAATATAAAATTACAAGGACCTAATAAAAAGAAAAAATTTATAGGGACCTAATTAAAAACCGGTTTGAAATTATAAGGATTTGTATATTTATTATCCTCGTACAAACCACCTCTTTATATTCTATAACGTATAAGAAATATGTACTATTTTTTTTTTTTTTTTCTTTTTCTTTTGCCCAAACAAGTCAATTTTATTAATTTTTTTTTAAAAGTACAAACACCCATAGCCAAAGCCACAAACAAAACAATGACTCAAAACTACAATAGAACTCACAAAAAGAAACCTAACCAGAAAATAAAATCAAATAACTAACATAACAGTAAACAAATACTAACGTTCTGTTGTACCCTTAGAAAAAAAAATAATTTAGAAAATAAGCATGCTCACCAAAGATTAAATGGGTAAAATCATTTCACGCCTGCGGTACCCTTGGAAAAATATTATGTGTTTGGTGGTTCAGTTTATAACCATAGTTAGGAAAGGGTTGGTTTGGTTTTTGTTCTGGAAACATTTTTTGTTTTAAAAACAAAAAAGAAAAAAAAAACTTGTTTGCTTATTTGTTTTTACTTGGTTGTTTTAATAAGATTGTAGTTTCTTCAATCTTGTTGGGTTCTTCTTATGCTTAATTGTCGCCTGCTTTGACTTATTTGCTTTGCCTTTATTATTTTTAGTTGTCATTTTCAACCTCCGTCTCTCTCATTTAATACCTATATATGTTTTACTAACAGGAGTTGAAGGTGTAAAAAACAGTTAGTTTTTTACAATATGACAAGTTAAGATTCAAATCTTTATTAGTAGAGATACATATATCTAGTCTCCCGTGATACCTCAAACATGATTGTATCTAATAGAAAAATACATGTGCATGTGAAAAAAATAATAGCTATATTTTAAAGTGAAAAATTGAACGAAGGACAATTCATTGTGAGTGCGTAAGATTTTTTCTTTTCCTTTCCCGACAAACTGTCAAATTTAGCAATAAAAAAAAAAGGATTAATTACAGAAACGGTTTCCTTTTCTTGGTCCCATTCAAATAAAACAAAATCAAAATCAAAAACAAAAAACCCGAGATGGCTTCTAGGCACATCCCTGCTTCTTCAGCCTTCACTAAATCATTTTTTAAACCTTAGTCGATTGTTGACTCTATGCCCACGATCGGTAATTCGGTACATCAAATTAAAAACACAGATTGCAGAAGCAATCTCTAAGTAATGATTCGACCAACCTTCTTGCAATCTCTGGTAGTAATTATGGTTCAAACCTTGAGAATCATTTATTACTTTATTTTGCTTCTGCATTAACTTCGAATGGTTTAACTTTGTTGCACAACGGAATACTTGCTGCAGTTTCTGGAGAAGAAAACCATTGTTCCACTTTTGAATTTCTTCCTTTCCAGCTATGGCTTCTTCTTCTTCTTCTTTCAATGATTCTCAAATCAAACACGATGTGTTCATCAACTTCAGTGGCAAGGACACTAGACGCGGTTTTTTGAGTCATCTAGTAAAGGAACTATGTCGGGAGAGCATCATAGTCTATGTAGATGAGGAACTGAACAGAGGAGAAGAAATATCATCCTCGCTTCTGAGAGCAATTAAAGAATCGCAAATTTCAATCGTCATTTTCTCAGAAAACTATGCCTGTTCAAGGTGGTGCTTGGATGAGCTTGAAGAAATAATGAAGTGCCAGAAAGTGAAGAAACAAATTGTTTTACCGATTTTCTACTACATAGATCCCTCACATGTACGGCATCAAAGAGGCGCTTATGAAAATGCATTTGCTGAACATGAATTGAGGTTTCAAGGAAACAGCTTGAAGGTAGAGAATTGGAGATCAGCCCTGAAGAATGCTGCTGACCTATCTGGCTATGATTCGTCCCGTTATGGGTAAGCCTTTGCAAAATACTATTTAATTCTCAACAGTTGAAATATCAATGTGTGTGGCAGGCTATCTAATTTAGACCTTGAAAAACATTTGTCTTCGCTTTGTAGAAATTAGAGCATGTTTTGCATCACAATATTTAATTGGTAATTTTCTGATATGATATTCCAACAGTTTCATACTGGATCCTAAAAGTTCCATGCAGTGCACAGGTAGATACTACATTTATCTAATAAACGACTTGGATTAGGAGTCATTGAATTGTATAACGCATATAAATATAGGACTTGTTGATTAGCTATTTCGTTCCATCTTCTTGTTCTGATACATTCTTTTTTCTTCTTTGATTCAGTACTGACTCTGAGCTCATAGATGAAATTGTCAAGGATGTTTTGTTAAGAGTGAATGATATCTATCCTTGTGAGTCAAATCGCCTTGTTGGAATTGATCAACATCTTGATCGTATTAGATCATTTTTGGAAATGGAATCAAAAGGAGTTCAAATCCTCGGAATTTGGGGCATGAGTGGCATCGGTAAAACAGCCATTGCACGAGTTGCATTTGAGAAATTCTCTTCCCGCTATGAAGGCTCTTACTTTTTAGACAATGTGAGAGAAGAATCACAAAAGCATGGGCTGAAATCTTTAAGAGAGAAACTTATTTCTGAACTGCAAGAGGAAAAATCCACTTTCATCCGTAGAAAGCTTATTAGACGAAGAAAAGTTTTAGTTGTGCTTGATGATGTGGGTGCTCCAGAACAACTACGGCATCTAGTTACAGAAGGATTTCACTGGGGACCTGGTAGTAGAGTTATTGCAACAAGCCAAAACAAGCAAGCACTGATTGCTGGAGGAGTTCCTGCCAATTTCATACATGAGGTCAAGAAATTGGACTTTGAAGAATCCCTTAATCTTTTCAGCTTAAATGCCTTCAACAATAGCCATCCTGATAGGGGATATGAAGAACTTTCAAAACAAGCAGCTGCTTATGCCGATGGCCTTCCTCTAGCTCTGAAAGTTTTGGGTTTACATCTTTGTTCTTGTGATAGAGAAACATGGAAAAGTACATTGGGAAAACTTGAGATGTATCCCCATCCTCAAATTCAAGATGTGCTGAAAATGAGTTTTGAGGGATTAGATGATGTAGAAAGGGACATATTTCTTGATATCGCTTTCTTTTACAAAGGAGAAGATAAAGATCATGTCAAGAGGCAACTTGATGCCAATAACCTTTTTGCTGCTTATGGAATAAAAGGACTTCTAGATAAAGCTCTTATATCCATTTCAAACGACAATGTAATAAAAATGCATGACTTGATTCAAGAAATGGGTCGGGAAATAGTTCGGCAAGAATGCAAGGACAATCCTGGAGGACGTAGTCGGTTGAAGGACTTTGAGGAAGTGTATGATGTGTTAAAAAATAATAGGGTACGAGAAAGATATCTTATCTTCTGTCTGCATGCAGATGATTTTTGTGCAAATTGCAGCTAGATTCACATCATTCACTTTTCTTATAAATTTGTTTTATTTTTCAGGGAACTGATGCCATTAAAGGCATAGCGTTATATGCTTCTCTCTTTAAAGATGTACGGTTGAATGTTGACACCTTCAAAAATATGACTAATCTCAGAGTCGTCAAGTTTTACTCTTCTTGGCATGTGAGATGCTGTAATGTGCACCCTCCAACAAGTTTTTTGTCGTTCTCTGATGAGCTGAGGCGCCTAAAGTGGGATGGATACCCACACCCATATCCTGAGAAACTTGTTGGGCACTCTATGCCCAACAACCATGTTGGGAAACTTTGGAAACTAGTGCAGGTAGATGTACTTGTATCTTTAGTTAGTTGTCTTTCATTCAAATTCTAAAATTTTCCCCATTTTTAATATATCTCGTTTACTTGCTTCAGGATTATGTGAATTCTAAGAGAATGAGCCTTGACAGCTCCAAACAATCAATGGAGTTGCTTGATTTCACAAAGGCACAGAAAACTGAATGGGAGGATATGTGTTCTTGTCAAGGTTTTTGTAACGTCAATTCACATATCCTGTCTCTTTCCATGATTGCTGCTGTGAATTTAGTTCGCTCCAAAGATTCAAAGAAACATCACAGTGAGAGTAATTTCAGATCTCTTATAAACTTTGATGTCGGTTTATGCTTTAGTGTCAGGGTATTTTCGTCGTCATCAAAAGAAATATCAGAGCTGGATTTTGTAACTTCAAAATTTGAAATATTGTGCTCATCATCAGTTAGGGGTGTCAGTGAGCTAAGAAGGATCACACATGGTGATTCAAGACCAGAGATTGTTCCCCTAAATGAGTTGTGTTGCCTGAGATTTTTTGAAGAGCTTAGTCTCTCTGATTGCAGACAAATGAATCAAAGCCCAGAGCTGCGCATCCTATTTGACGCCTTACTTTATTTACGAGAGCTATTTATGAATGGATGCAGCGTCTTCTTTAAATCCCCTCATACTATTTGCACCTCTTCATCATTTAATTATTTGACGGATCTATGTATACAACAAAGTCAGGCACCAGCGCGGCATTTTGCCTCATTTCCCCTCAAGTCAGGGGAGCTTGTACTCGTCACGGTAGCATTTAAACGGGCAGTGGATCTTTTGGCTTTGTCTGGGCATGTCCTTTACGATCATGATTCCTCTTGTGCGATAGGGAAGGTGAACGGAAACCAATTCTTTATTAGAGGACCATATATATCAAGGAGCCTGATTCGGTGTCCATCAGTATCATCATGGTTGAGGTAAGCGCTGAATAGGACCATTCCCTCACCTTAAAATAACACCTGACACTATTTCCTTTTATTACTTTATAATTTATAGATATATATATATATATATTTGCCAACTCTTGTTTCTTTAAATATCAGGAGTATGTCCTATTTTATGATGCATATATTTTATCTGTTGATTGCTGGTCAAGGAAGTGGTACCATCTGGACCTACAAGAGACACTTGTTATTCTCTATGTGCTTGGCATGTTAAGAATTGGTAGTACATTTTCTAAACGTAGTTAGGACATTAAGAAAAACCCTCTTCCATGTTCAGTCCCATAGCTGAGAAGTAGTGAACCTGATCCTTTAAATGTTTTAAATCATGTGCGCTGGCAGCATCTTCTGTTTCGTTCCTTCTTATGCTTAATTGCCGTCTGATATGGTTTATTTGCTTTCCCTTTATTACTTCTAATTATGGTTTTTGTGTCTAATTAAATCTCGTTTCTTTTTTTTTTTTTAATGTTGAGTATAGGAATTATTGTATCGAAGACTTGTACAAAGCACTACGGGCCTCTGGTCATATTTATAGAATAAAGAGGGAAAATGCTTTTTGGTCTTTATTTATACAATACTGAGAAAAATTTTTTATATTAATGTACAATTTTACTTTTTATTAACATCGCTGGTGATTGAGTCTGCTCTCCAAATGCGCTAAAAATGTGCCAGGCTTTCTTTTCTGTTTGTCCTTTTAAAAAAATTGCTAGCTTATTAATTGGCAACGGTTCAGAGGCAGCACTGCGGCTATACCTTAAATTGGGCCCACAAAAAAAAAAAAAAAAGAACTAAGGAGAAGTGCCATCTTTTTGTCATTTTTCCTCTCTTATGCGTCCCATGTTATCGATGTTACTCTTTGAGCCTTACATGTGACTCCCCCGGTCTTAATTATAATAGATATCACGTATATTTTTTAAAATATCATAATTATTTTTTTAATATTTTCACTCCTTCTCTTACTTGATTAGGATTAAGAGAGTATCAATAAGGTAATATAAAAAAAATGATAAATATGAAAAAATATATTTTATATTTAAAATCAAAATTAACTCAACAATTAATTCTTATGTTTTTTTTTTCCCAAACAATTAGGTCTTATGTTAAAAAGTGAAGAAGTATTAGAAAATTGCAGTAAAATAATTTATTAACATTATATTTTTTTTTCAAGAAAGACCAATAATTTCATTCATAATGAGACTTAAATAATATTACAAATTTTGGCTAAAGTATGCATTTATCTTTTAAGTTTATATCAACTTTTAGTTTAATTTTTATTTTTAAAAATATATTTTTAGTCCTTTAGACTTAATTAATTTTATTATATAAAGTGTTGATTCTGTCATTCTAACATATTACTTCCGGTCCTAATTATAAAACCTTGTAATATAAAATCCTTTTTTTAAACCCTCAGAGTACGTATTTATAAGCGTTATGGTTCAAACAAATCATGAAAACAAACCCTTGAATTTAAAACTTTAACATAATTATTGGGGTTATTATTTACTGTTTAAATTCCAGAATTTTTGCTTAACATGTCCGCAATTTATATGCAATTTACAAATATAAATTTAGAAATATTTAAAAATAAATCTTTACTTTTATCAACAATTTATATGCAATTTAATAATGATGAAACAAACAATTTTCTTAGCTTACTTTTGTAATCGAAAAATATATAATTAACATCAAAATTTTATATTCAATATTTTTAAAATAATAATTATTTTAATGATTAGCATTATTATTAAATTTTATACTCAATCTAATATGAATAATTAAAAAGCCGATCCCCTGGTCAAAAAAAAAAGCCTATCATTAGAAAAGTTAAAAAGTTACAAATTAAAATATTTTTTAAATTACGATTTTTATGAATATTTAAAAATAAATCATATGGAATCGTGTTAGACAATTTAGGCCCTGTTTGGTAGAGCAGTGAAAATCCCCTATAAACATGTTTCACGTAAGTTGAGATAAAACTTCTTTTGCATATTTGCCTCATTTATGCATCCTGTGTTCTCTATGTTGCTCTTACCTTTACATGTCACTCCTCTCTTGATATAAAACACATTTAATTAGATTAAAAAAATTAAATAAATGAGTTATTTATAATAAATATCACATATATTTTTTAAAAATATCATAATCATCCATTTTAATATCTTCACTTCTTCTTCTACTTGATTATCATTAAGAGAGTACCAATAAAGTAATATAAAAAATGATAAATATGAAAAAATATATCTTATATTAAGAATCAAAATTAACTCAATAATTAGATTTTATGTTAAAAATAAAGAAGTATTAGAAAACTGCAGTAAAATAATTTATTAAAATTATATTTTTTTTCAAGAAAGACCAATAATTACATTCATAATGATACTTAAATAATACTACAAATTTTGTTTAAAAGTATGCATTTATCTTTTAAGTTTATATCAAATTTTAGTTTAATTTTGTTATCTTTAGAAATATATTTTTAGTCTTTTAGACTTAATTAATTTTATTACAGAAAATGTTGATTCGTCATCTACTTCTTTTAAAATGATAACTCCGTATCTAATGCTAACATATTATTTTTTAATTTACAAATATAAATTTAGAAATATTTAAAATTAAATCTTTACTTTTATCAACAATTTATATGCAATTTAATAATGATGAAACAAACAATTTTCTTTGCTTACTTTTATAATCGAAAAAATATATAATTAACATCAAAATTTTATATTCAAAGATTTTTAAATTAATAATTATTTTAATGATTACCAGTATTATTAAATTTATACTCAATCTAATATGAATAATTAAAAAGCCGATGACTAAAAAAGTTAAAAGGTTACAAATTAAAATATTTTTTAAATTACTATTTTTATGAATACCCAAAAGTAAATCATACAGAACCGCATTAGACAATTTAGCCATGTGGAATAATTGTCTTTGACGGCACCTTTAATTAGATTCTATTTTAAATATTTTTTTAATTTACATATTTTAAACTAAAAATTAACATGTGAGTATTTAAAAGCTGAATCATCATTTTAAAATTGCTGAGTCAACATTTTTTACTAGTGAGATTTAACAATGTTAAATTTAAAAGACTAAAAATATAGTTTTTAATAAATTGAAATTTGATAAACTTAAAGAATTAAACGTATGCTTTACTCCTGAATTTTCATTTCAGATTTTTAGAGAAATTGTTTTCTCGTATGATGCACGGATCAGCATATTTGATTAGATTTAAAATTTTAATAAATTGTATTATCTAAGACAGCTGAAGATTTACTTATAACAGGAGTATTTTTTAATTCATTTTAATGGAATTTGAATTAGAGATGCAAAATATATAGGGAATAGATGAAAATTTGAAATTATTTATTTATTTCTCCATTTAAGCCTTCCAATTGAATAGATCTCATAATATTATATCTGACTCATTTTCAAATGAATCGGGTATTATAAATTTTTGAGAATATAGTTGATGATTGATTTCAATAACCAACTAGTGAGTATACAACATCTTACCATCCATTCTTTATTATAAGAACCTTCTTAATACTTTATAATATATTATAATTTGTCTAAAGTGTAAAATTTTTACCCTAACCAACTATAAAAATTCATCACTAGTTAACTGAGATTCTTTAACTGATAATTTTTATTCAAGATAATTTGAAGATTTTATAAAAATAACTAATTCAATTATTTTTTTAATGTAAAAAAGTAAGAAAAATTAATTAAAAATATTAACTCCAACTCTCATTTTTTCAAATAAAACTCATTAAAATTTTCAACTCCTTCATTTTCTTCGTACCGAATTGAATTTTAATTTATGTAAAGGTGAAATAGTTATTTAAAATTTATAAAAGAAAATTAGGGGGAGTGTACAAACACATATAACTGGAACACGAATACCTGACACTAGGGTCATAAGTCTTAATCAAGTGTGGTGCAATGATCTATTTGCGATACACATGCTTAAAATACTCCCCACCTTCCCTTTTTATAAGAAACATTTCTCATGTTTCCAAATATAGGAAATAAATTTCTTGTCAGAAATTTTAAACTAATATTTCCATTTTTACTCATTAAAATACGCCATTTATTATGTCTCTCCAAGAATAAAAGCCAAGAATCACAAATGAAAAAGCTAATTAGTAAGCTCCACACCCCCCCCCCTAAAGTAAAGCTCCTTCTAATAATTTTCGTGTAGGTTGAAGCTCGTGTAGGATCAATAAAATTGTTTAGTTGGTATTCACGAGATGTTTCTTTCCAACTGATAGAAGAGACTGCATCTAATAAAATTGTTGTAAAATTTGAAGAAGAGAAGAAATAGAGAACAAAATTCATTTATTTATATATGCGCTTGATAACAACTCAACTGAGTCTGAAAACTTCAGTAAATATTTAGGATTAATAATCTTAACTACATTAGTCTGATATACATGCGAGTAACACTTTTCCAGCAGCCAAGACAAAACCTGCTTGATTGGGAACAAATTTGGTTTCTTTGGACCATAGAGCAGAATTGAAAGAGAGACAATGCATTATATTGTCAAATTCAATAGCTATATTTGGAAGTGAAGAATCTATAAAAATTTCTGATAAATAAAAGAATGAAAAACAATTCACTGTGAACGGATATGATTTTTCTTGTTTTTTTTTCCTATCACTTTTTCGTTTCTGTATTATCCAGACAAAATTTATCGAATTTAGCAAAAGAGCTAATTACAGGGACAGGGAACAGTTTCATTAGAGTATCTTCAAAATAAAATAATAATAATAACAACAACAATTCAATGCCAGTTTATGTGAAATCCATCTTCTCTTTTTTCACTTAACTTTTTTGCGCTTTTGTACAAAACTTTCGCATTGAATGGGAAACAAGAAAGAACTCGATTCAGAAACAATTTCATTATGTTCAATTACGATGAATTGTTTTTTTTTTTTGGGATACATATTGGAATCTATCAAATGCACAAAACAATCATACCTCAAAATTGAGTGATTCCAGAAATGAAGAGCGATAATTCTTTCATTTCTTTTCCTGGATCAAACAGAGCCTCAATCATCAACGAATGAAAGGGATTCTTTGCATCTTGAACGCCAAAACCGCACAAAAGATCAAGAAAACGATGGGCGCTTCGGTGCACGAGCATGCTGCATCCGAAGGATCTCCGATTGCCATAAACGGCGGCGTCAAGATTCCCTCCGGTGGTGACGGCGGTGACGGAAGGACCTCCGACTCCTGGTTACCGGCTGTAGTTTCCGTAGTCGGAGTTGGCAGGAGGGGAAATGAGTAACCGAAAATAGAGTAATCAAGAACCGCTGCGATGCCGTGGACGGAGATGGAATCAGTGTTGTAGAGGTTTGGATGAGTGACCGGAATGTTGTTGAGAGTGAAATTGAAGCGAGAACTGTTGGTAATAACAAGGGACATGGCAGGAAGGAGAGTGGGAAGGCGAGTGTTGGGCTTGAAGAGGAGAAGATCGGAGAATGAGAGTCGCTGAGGGACGATATGGTAAGGGAAGAGAAGCGGATCCATGGCCGGGTGGTTGTCGGAGATGAGATCGCTGCCGTCTTGAGGGACGAAGAGGGTGGCGCTCATCGGGAGCATCAACGGATTGGCCAGGGAGAGAATGGTCACCCAGCTAGTGAAGTCCCCGGCACCGATCAGGGCGTCAATAATGTTGCGGAGCTGCTGCGGGGGCGGAGTCAGCATCGCCGGAACCGGCGGCGGAGGCTGTGCGATTGCAGAGAGTGAGAGGAAGAGGAAGAAGAAGACGAAGATGCAAAGATTTTCCATGCGAAAGAGAAATTCGCAGAGAGAGAACAGTTTTCTTGAATTTCTTTCTCAGAATCTTCCCGCCAATTCTGCCCTGAGCACAACGAACTTTCAGAGTGCCTGTTAATTTTTCCGGCCGGAACTATACTCTCTCTCTCTCTCTCTATATATATATAAGGAAATTCATAAAATATATATTATTTATCAATATATATATATATATATAAAGATCTTAAATTTTAAAATTGAGATTCCTACTACAGGCTTTTGTTTGTTAAAAAAAAAAAAAAATCGAATTCTCTGAATGAGAATTATGTGAAGAATGGTTTTATACGTAAATCATAATAGTTTTTATTAGAATATTTGAAATCTAATTTATTATAATTTGAATGAAATAAAATGAAAAATATAAAAGATCCAACTCTCATTTTCAAAAGTGTACCGGTTTAAACTTAAGAAAATATAAAGCATATTTAAAATTAAGATAATTTAAAATAAAATTGGGTTTGAACTATTTAAATCTCATTAAAAAGATAAACTTGGCACCTTAATTTCTTGAACAGCAAAGGATACAAATATTAATGTGAACTTGGCATAATTAGTGAAAGCATATTTGATTCAGTTTTTAGTCACTTTATTTTACGTCTCTCTAATTTTAAAAAAATACTTCTTTAAAAAATTTTCGTTCTAAGAATCTGATCGGCCAGCTTGAAATTATAATGCTAATACGCATCCTTTATAATAATATTAAATTGTACAGTTTATTAGTAGAAATATCTTCATTTTAAGATCCTAAAATATTTTCTCTTTGATTTAATCTTCAGTTAATGACAAACTGGAAATTGAAAAAAATAAACAATTGGGGGAGAAATACACAATAGATTTAATTTGATATTACTCCTTAAAATTAAATTAAATTAATACTCAATAGTCAATACATGATTATTATTAGGAACAAATTGTAAAAAAAAGACCTTAAAAAAAGAAAAATTACAAATAGGGACCTATTACAATATTAGTATAAGTTTTGTGTTTATATACGTAAAATTTTAATTTTTTCAAATTTTTTTTTTGTACTACTGCCGCCGCAGCGGCCAAATTTATTGCATTAGTTTATTTTTACGGGACTGAACTTTTTTTTTTATTTTTAACATAACGGCAAAACGTGACACCAGCATTGGGTAGGCTCAATATCATTAACATATTCGATTCTTCATATATAATGACAATTCTTCGTACTTTTTTACCTTTAATATAGAACTTAATTATTAAGTTGTTTTTATTCTAAATATAAAACTTATTTTCATTTATCAGTTTTTTCTAAATTATCCTTATGAATACTCCCTCAACCATAATCAAGTAGAAGAGGGAGAGAGGATATTAAGAAAAATAATTATAATGTTTTAGGAAAAACATGTCATATTTTTTTATAATTACCTAACTTATCTAAATTTCTTAATCTAATCAAATTAATTAGAGGCCTTATATTAAGAATTGGAAGAGTATATTATAACATGATTAGATTGTTTCTCAAATGCTTAATTGGCTCTGCATAGAGATCTTTAACACCCTCAGTCCTTCATATATCTTATATATCATATGAAGTTTTTTTTTTTTGGGCCATGAATTTAGTATCATTAGGCCACGAAGTCACAACAAATATATGAAGTTTGATAAATCCATACACTTCTTACTGCTCTCACACTTAATGTAAGATATATTTAACTAATCTGATCAAGTTAAAAAAGTTAGGTAAGTTAGTTAATTATAATAAATATGACATTTTTTCCCTAAAATATTCAAATCATTTTTCATAATAACCCCTTCTTCCTCTTACTTGATTATGATTGAAGGAATATCAACAGAGATAATTTGATAAAAATTAACAAATATAATAAATAAATCTTATATTTAGAATTAAGATCTATTTTACAATTAGGTCTTATATTAAGGACTTTAGAAGTATGATTTATGAACCTTCATATCCATACTAATATAGCAACATAATTAACAGCACCAGCGCCTTTTCTCTGTAGATACAGGAATCTAGACATGCTAATGACATTAAAGAAATACATCTGTAATAGCCCTGAAAAGGAAGAATGCATTTCAAAAGGAAAGTTAGTACTACATATGTAACGGCCTAATAGGTCAATGCCATAGTCCATCTATAATCGGGTTATTGCCAGCGGGTTACAAATAAGCAAAATTTGGTCCCAACCTCACCCAGCAACCTTCTCTTTCATCATGAATCTCTGACCAAAGAATGGACCTAATCAATGGCTAAATGGATTATGACTACCATAAATCAGCAATAATGGAGATCTTATTCCCTGTTCTATATCTACAAGCTTTTCTGGATCTCCTCTATCAGAGCCGCAATTTCCACTCTCCACTGAGTACTTTCTGCATTAGACCCCAGTAACTTCTGCATTGTGATTAACTCATCCAGGTTCGCTTTCTTCAACAATCCTTTGAGCACCAGTATCGTCCCTTCGAACGAGTCACATTTTTCTCCTATAAGTTTATCATCATTTTCATCAGACAGGCTACTCGAACTGCCACGCACAAGCTTGACATCATCACTTGTACTGCTGGAAGATACAGAAGAGATTAATTCCTTGCGGTTCCAGTATTCTCCGCATTGATGACTGGGATCCAGAGCTTCAATACCCTGAAACCGTTTGTCAGCATGAGATGATATCAGTCCATGTTATTAGAGAACTTATTTACCTTTATATCCAAATAAATCAGCTATCTGTAAATGAAACTAAAAGCCATAATAAGCTAAGCTAATCGATTACAACGGCTGTCAGTAAGTAGAGTTCTGAACAATTGAAGTATAATTTTACACTGAGCATACCACTTGGACATAATATTCAATGCTATCAAAGCTCACAGTTTTCAGTTAAGATGCGTACAATTTAATTTGACCACAGTACTACAACATATTATACACCAGTGATAAGTTTCATTTAATTTGTAGAGCAATCTGTTTAAGAAGCATTAGCATGTAAATGCATTTACCTGGATGATCGATGGAGAAAGGAATCCGAACATTTGTAGACCGTTTATGCCTTGCAGAAGCTCCAATGGAGGAAGTTCTAGTTCCCCTAGGCTTCTGCGCCTGATGATCTCACGATTTACTCTCTCCAGAACTGATTCCCAGCACTTCTCTGCTGACATGTTCATGAAACTTTCACTTGGATGTTCTTCCATGCTAACCTGAACAATATTCACACGAGAAAGAAATATGTCAGCTGAAAGGATCGTTGGTACGATTTGTGCTAAAAAGAATGGATTTCCTAACCATTCTAGGCATCATTAGCTTCATTTATTTTTTGTCAGTTCTACAGAATCAGATAATGATGCCTCTGCATAAAATTTTTCCCTTTAGGCTTTTATGAATAAATTATCAGTCAATGGAATCATCTAAAAGGCAAATCTCTAGTTCAGAAAAGATGGAGAAAGTATTAGTACTAACAATTATCTTTAAAAATGTAACACAAGACTTTAAGATAATTGTTAGGACAATTATTTTCAACATTTTCCAGAGCAGACCAAAACAAGAAGAAATTAAGAAAACATCAGCTCAATTCTATAAACAGTCCAAAGGTCAGACCAAAAACCCCTCGGCCAAAATCAGTGGCTGAAACTCAAAGCAAAAGCAAAGGAATCAACTTGCGTCATTATCTGATGCATCAAAGCAAAAGCAAAGTTGTATAAATAAAAGCCTTTCCCCTGAAAAACTCCAGCTATGAATATACTACTCAAACATGCAAGTACAACATCTAAAATGCCTAAGATGCCTTTTGTTCCCAAAACAGAAAGGAAAGAAATTATCTGATGCATCAAGGGAAACATCTATTTGCTGCATTATTTAATCTAACAGTGAACTAAGCCATTAATGATGCATTATACTGATATCAAGACCATGAAAACCCAAAAAATGTTTGTGGGCTGCGGCAATAAGCTAAAAATAACATATATTAAGAAACATCCATTCTGCTTATGATTTCAAGATTTAAACAAGGTCAGGAATGATATGATACCTTGAAAAGAGGTCCAATTAAGCCACCATCAAGAACTTCGGAAACATAGCTACAGATTGTTGATGGATTAAGCATGCTAAAGAACTTGACACGACTCTTGAATCCTTCAAATGATTGCCAAAAGAAGTGAAAAGTCAAATCCCCAAAAATATTAAAATATATACAAATGGCAAATCTAAGCACAGAAAATGACAGTCTACAGCATACCTTTTGGATATATCTTGTGCTTACTGCACCACAGCTTTCCAAGCACAATGGAGCCCAGGCTTACAGGCTCAACAGATGCAGCAAACTTCTGAATTAGAAAGCTCTCGCTTGTCAAAGATGTGCTTTTATTGAAACTGTCCATGTCTACTGCTTCCGTTTTACATTCACTGTTAGGTAGCACTCTCATACCCGATGCATCAACAGATCATCCCCAGGCATCTGGCCACCATCAAATTTACTTGAAGTGCGATGACCCCTAGAACGTGATGGGTAATGCTTCTTAACAGGAGAAAACCTGTCTGATACATTTTCTTCACTATCAAGGACCACATCATCTTGTTCCTTTTGTGACTCTGAGCAACCGAACTTTTCAACACAACCAATACCCTTGTTTGATTTTCTATCAGCAATATGCAGGATGTCACTTTCATTTTGATCAGACATAACATTAAGATTTAAACCCACACAACAATTCCATGAACCCTTAGCTTCATTAGCCATGACTAAACTTTTGACATTAACATTGCCATTATGACTATCTACAATGTTCTGCTGTGGTGCACTTTCCACTTGAGAATCTGACTGGACTAATTCTGAAGAAACATGACTATGAGGATCGTCATTTAGTTTTGACTTCTTGATTCTTGGACAAGAAGACGAACTTTCCACTTCATTGATCTTAGCTTTACACATGTCTCTGTCCACATGTGGCTTACCTAAACAAACGTCCCTAGCATCTACAGAAATCATTCCAGAGGTCCTATTTGCCCAAACCTTGATAGCTTCTAACCCTCCTTCTAATGCTCTAACCAACTCTTTTAGCTCCTCTATAGGATAACGAAATAGAACAAATCTTTCATCATATCCACATGAGCAAAACGAATTTGAGTGTCTTAGACAAGAGTATTTATCAACAGAGCATTGGCAGCCTGAAGCAGAAAGGTGCAAATCATAGAAGCAAGCAAAGCATTCTCTTTCCTTATCCAAATCAAAGTTGATGTCCATTTTCACCAATTTTATGGGAGTCTGCAGACGTTGTATCCGCTCTTCCTCAATCTTTATCCTTGTCTGGAAAATTTAAAAGAAAGACAGATGATAAAGAGACATTTAATCAGCAACTAAAACTAGTAATTTCAATCAATGTCTGCCAGAATATAGAACGGAGTTGCTAAATGAATATTTGGATAAAAGTTTCGTGAAACAAGGGAGACTGCAACAACCATTACCTTAACAGCATTAGTAAGAACACCATCTTTCCCACAGACACTTTTCCATTTCAAATTTTTTTGAGTTTCCTTTCCTTCAAGAAGAACTTCTGCAAGGGCTTGTATGGCTTCCTGAGCTGATCCTAGTAATAGCTTGTCATGTGACAATGATGTTTTACGGCACTGCTGACTATAAAGTTCAACAGCATTCTGGCCATGCAGCAACCAATCTACAGGAGCAACATTCACAGCCTCGGCACAGTTGAAACCACAATTGAAGCCAGCATGGTATGCTCTAGGAAAGGTAATTACAAATTCCCCAGAATGCTGGACAGTGCGAAATATAGGAACTCCTTCAGATTTAAGAATTGAAGGTGATAGTTGAGTGACCTGCCCAAAAGTAAATCATAAGCATTATAATTACAACTAAGTCCCCATGCTTAGAAGCTATCTTGTGCTTAACAAAACTGGAACCTATTGTCATGGAATGGAAAAAAGAACTGGGGAGTTACAAAGATATATTACTGTAGTCATTGTTACTTGTTAGCATTAAAACTGAAATTCAGCCTACAATATATGGGGGTTGAGGTTCTAAGCTCATAAATATGCAACAAATAATCTTCAATAAAACTTGTAATGATAAAATGTCAGTGGCAAGGCTCCCCAGGACAAGAGAAGTGTATAGAAAGAGATCAAATAATACTTAGTATGAAACATAATCAGGTTAGAAGCAAGTTTCAAGTATGGCTTTATGCATAATATACTATGTCAGATATTAATTTATCATAGGGAAGTTTTTCGGTCGTTAATTTCTTAGCCAACACTTCCATAAGATTGTAAAGTGCATTTAAGCTTTCGAGGGAGAATAACTGAAGAAATATACAATCTTATCCGCTTACTATTCAAGACCCTAATTACTACAGCTTCCACTGCATATCTACTTTTACAAATAGAGAACTCTTAATACTGGATTCATCGGTGTGCCAGCCATATATGATAATAAACATGTGGCACTACTTTGAAAACTTTAGAGATTGATCAACTAAACAGTTATATGTGCACGAAGTGGTTCGAGGCTTCCCACAAACAGCATGCGTAAAATACACATTTTGCATCAAACAAGTGCAATACTAATCATGAGGTCCAAATCATGTTGACAACAATTGTGTACTTCTTCCAGACAAAAATACTTCAGAAAAACAGCAGAGAGTAAAACATAGACCACACATCATGTTATATCATGAAAACCACGCAAAACCAGAGAATAAAGGTTCACAACTGAAAACAATGAGGAAAGGACAGCATATAACATAATACCAGTTCATTGAGTAAATTAGGTTGCTCCTCAAATAAATCAGGCATATGCTTTCTCATCGCACCCTCCAAAGACGTAGCATGATTGCCAGGTACTCCATACCATACTTTTGGATCGCCCCAGTGCAAATAATTTAGTGAATAAAGGTGATGATCCTCGACATGCTATTTGAATAAACATAAGATGTAGGTTTAGTAAAGCATAAAGATTTGAGATAAAATGCAAAATTACTCACATCCCTATAGACTGCATTTATGTACTGAGGAATATACAGCATTTGGCATTAGTTAACTTCATGCTTTATGCAGTTAGTAGTGGTCCTTCTAACTTCTCCATTAACGTAGTGATTGATTTGTCCCAGAAAAATCCCATCCAATTTGAATCTTTCTTTCTTTGTTTAATAAGGTTAAGACCTTCTATTAAGTTTTTGATAAAATTACTTAAAACTTCTATGACTCAACTTCTACAGATGAACAGCTATATTTAAAACCCAAGAGTTAGAGTAGAATAATTTCATTGCTTACCCAGCAAAATGATGAAAAACACATCCCAACATATAGCCAAGGCACTAGAACTCCAGAGATATCACTTCCTTCAAAACATAGCACCGAACCTGGCAGCCGTGGGATGTTATTCAGATTCCAGCCAGATAGTGTATACTCATCCAAGTCACTCTTAGTTAGAGAATCAGCCTTTGGAAAACCACTTCCAAGTGCTCCACTTTCCAGGTCAGCTCCGTAGTACACCTACAATATGACATGAAATATGCACTGATCACACATTTATTTGACAATAAAGACAATCAGAGTGGCCTAGAGATAATAATTATTACCTCGACCTCATCAGTTGGTTGCTCAATTATTCTCCAGTATTCACCTTCAATTTCCTTCACAGAGGGCTGCCACCTTTTCTGATATTTATTATCACTAATTTGTCCATCCTCTTTGATATCCTTCTTCCCAAAGTAGCGTTCTTTAAAAAAAGCAGCATATCGTTGAAAGTCTCTGAGTGTGAAGTCTGGTCCTGATTGGAATCCAAATTTTTCATCAGATTCAGAAGCAGCATTAACTTCTGAATCTGGATTGGCAAGTCTCCTGCACATTGCCATTTTTGTGTTCTTTCTACGTTTTCGTTTCCTTCCCCTGCTTTTCTTTCTCATGGGCTCTCTATTCTGAAGCAAGTCAATCTGCTGAATACGGGTGGGAAATTTAGCATTTTCCCAAATATCTTTCTCCTTAAGAGGGCAAGATGGAGTCCAGCAAGGTGGAGGGACTATCCGACATATGCCATGTGGTTCAGCCAGGGGGCGTATCTTTGCTATGTAACCAAGGGTGTCCTCAAACTCCTAATAAGAGGGGTAGAAAATTAAAACTAAATAGAAAGAGAAATAAAAAGCTACAACCATCCAAAGGAATAACTTCAAGATAGCTCATCTTTAAAAGTACCTCAGCAGTTGGATGAAAGACAGGTGCTTCATCAATTACAGGCAAGCATGCTTCATCTGGATCCCATCTGGCTGATATCTGCAACATGAAAATGGTGGTTCAGCATACTGTTTCACGCTTGACTCAACATGGGGTTATATCAAATTATAGTTGACTTGTATCAAATTGAGTGATAAAAACATGAACAAAGACACAAATGTGGAAGCAGTTAATTCTCAGCAGATTCTTCCATAGATGAGCAAGAAAAATAACAAAGTATAGGTCATGGTATGCCAAGCTTCAGGAAACCATTAAATATTTCGTCAACAAAGTAAAGGCAATAAAGATAGTCACGGATGCAAGAAATACAAATGTTGAAACAAACTCCAGAACTTCCACAGTTCCACTAAAGACAGAATATAGACTAGAATGACACACCTATTGCTCATAATCTAAGCATCCAATAGAGTTTTATGCAAGGAAAGAACCTTCCTTTGGCAATAAAAAAGGTTTCGATTCAAAGCTTGGTTCTTGAAGGCCAAACCCTTACACAAGAAGTTCAAGGTATCGAAATCACATATGACAAAAGTATTGGCGTAGTCAACACCAATTAAAAGAACCGCCTATAAGATATGACAATCTCATCTTGAATGAAAATGTAAAATGATAAAATTGGAACAAGGTTGCGTGATAGGAATTGGCTCTTATTGTCCCTCACTCAGGACATATTCAATGATTAAGGTCACCACCCCGATCACATTGGTTTAGACATAAAATATAGAAAAACGCATTTATCATTAAAACAACCATGCTGTGTGCTAGTTTGCTTTTTGTGGACAATGAATCTTCACTGCAGGCAATTTCCCACATTCAAAACAAAGCAAATTTTCATTTATGCCAAATAGTTACTAAATTTATGCTTATGCTTCAGCCATAATACTTTAGCACGTTAACACATTTTTCAACTACTGTACTTTAACACACATAGAGGATTATTGAAGAAATTGGCAATCTAAAGCCATATCTAGGCATATTTTATAAGCTACATACAAAATAGGAGTTACTAACCAGGGAAAAGTTTTGTTCCGTGAAAACACCATGAAACAAAGAATAAACATAGCTCAGAAGGCCAACTTACACAAAAAGTTCAAATTTTGTGGATAAATAATTGATGAACAAATAAACAAAAACATAGTTCTGGAGAGAAGAAGTTTGCACAGACTCTAAACTACTAATTATCATACAACAAAGACTTTACTAGCCAAAATACAATGTTACTATCAGAATGAAGGAAGAGTAACCAAGTAAAACAGCACAAAAATAGCAACGAATTTCAAACAAGATAAAAAGGGATCAGATCTGAAATATTTATGATCCATAACAATACAGAGCATAGAAGATTCTAAAAGAGGAACTAAATGTTCAGGACAAGGTAAAGGGCTCCAAGAACATAAACACACAAGATATTTCTAGGGTTTAAAAAATGAAATAAGAATCCTACCTCCTTGTAAGGAGATTCAGCAGACAATTTCGACTGTTCCATTCAATGCAGAATTATGGGGAAAACCTAGGTGAACAATTATTCCTGCAGAAGGAGAAAACCAATAAAAACAGAGACCCTAAGAGTCACCTCAATAGAGTTCTAATCAATCAAAACCGGAAACAGTTTCAAGAGTATATAAAAACCCATCCCGTAAAAACTTACAAACAAGGGGAAAATGCAGAGAATTTGGCATACCAAATGCAGCAGAAGCTTTTCAGACAGAGTTTGCTTCCCAGGTTCTGAATGGACCCAGAAAAGTTTGCGTACGCAAGAATTAATCAAGAAAGTTCTCATGCATATCAGAACAGTAAAGACCCAATGCAAATTTAATTGCCTGTATTCATATCTAACAAACCCCCAATTCCTCACAAATTCCAAAACTGTAAATTTCCAGGAACATCGAAACCAAACGCTGAAAAAATTTGCAGAATTGAGACAAGGATAATAAACGGAAACAGGAATTTGACTTAGTAAAAAAGTTAAAATGTCTGGACAGGTGGAACGAGAAACAAATATAATTAGTCGGAAATAATGGGAAGGATATCAGTTGAAAACAAAACCAATAAATCATATTATAATTAATAATTAATAATAATAACCATTTTAGAGCGACTAGGATTCTCCGTTAAGAGACGCGGTGGTGCACTTTATTATATTTTATTTGCTTTCTATTTTAGAAATTTTTGTTCCTGACATGAACAGTTACATAGAGGCTGGAAGAAAAATCAACGAAAGGCAAAAGATAAGCATAAATAATAAAATCTCTGTAAATAAGATGAAATTCGAGAGAGAGAGAGAGAGAGAGAGAGAGAGAGAGAGAGTCATCACGAACCCGCTAAACGCACGCGGTATTAACATCCACAGAGAGGCGTTAACGCGCTGAACCTATTGGGCTTCTTTGGAGTTTGGACCGTACCTTGTAAGATTCGGTCGCTATATATTTTAAAAAATAATTTAAAAAAGACTTCCCGATATTTACAAAAAATCTAATAGTTATAATCTATATATCTATTATAAAAATAAGATATATATATTTCAACAAAATTTATTTGTCTCTTGTAGACAAGTATTACATAAAAAATTGAAAAATGAAATATATGCTATGGACTTGTAGTAAAGTAAGATTATTTTATATGAATTTAATATTTAATTTTGCTGTAGAAGATAGTGGATAAAATTAATTTTGATAACTAGCTATTTCGATTTAGAAAATAATTACAGGAACACAATGATGCTTTTTTAAGAAAATTAATATTTTAAAAAAATAAGGATGCTACCACTATTTTGATTTTTAATTACATAAATTACTTTTTCTTTCCACATCAAAATTTTTTTTAACTGCACATCAAATCAAATCGAATCCCTCTTTAAAAAATCTTAAAGGATCATTACTCAGGCTAAATCTAGTACATTTTTTAAAAAATTAAACATTTTTAATAGATTATAAGTCGCAAACATGATGTTTTATTAATTATTTATACAAGTTCACAATAATAAAATAAGATAATTATTCAAAAATAAATATAATTAAATAAAGTTAATTTAACAAATAAAATAGTGCCATCACGAGGCCGGTCCCTAACAAAAACTGATGGGTATCATGCTAAATATTTCAATATAACTATTTTTTATTTTATAAAGCAAAATGGGCATAAAATTTAAAGGATAATAAATTAAGAAAAGACAAACCGCTTTTACAAGTAAGTTGAATTCTTACTCTGTTTGAACTCCTTCTCAGAACTGAAATAATTACTTTTTAAGCCATACATTTGACTTGGATAGTGAAAATCCTTATTTATCCCTTCCACTTTTACGCTGCTTGTTTCCTCACTTATCTTTGTGTGCTACCCAACAAGTTTAAACTTTAAACAAATAACTTTAGTTTATTCATTATTTCATCAAAAATATAATAGGATCAAAATTAGATGACATAAAGTGTACAAATTATTTACACATTATTCATCGTCTAAGGGGATTATTTGCGTAAAAGAATTAATTTTAAGCAATTATGTAATACCCATAAATTTATACCAAAAAAATGTCAAACGCCATATGTTTTTCAAACGTACAAAAATACAAATGAAATACAAAATCATAGCAAAAATGACACAATTGCTAAAATAAAATGACATCTGTTACTTTTGCACCTTCGAAAAACATATAGTGTTTGGTGTACTTTGCATAAAAGTTTATAAATATTTTTGCACATTTACCCTCCATAAGTTAATATGTTTGATATAAAAAAATAACAGAATAATTAATGAAATAGTGTAAAAATTTAATTAAAAGTTTAGGAAGAATACCTCCCTCCCCACTCTTTTATATATCTATTATTTATAAGTCAAAAATTAATAACAAAGTGTAAACATATAATAGAAAAATAAAAAGTAAAGTATAAATATAAATATAGGCCGTATTTATATTATTTGGGAGATATAAAATCATACAATTCATTCAAACACTACGTAAATTGTAAAATATGATAATTAGTTTAGTAAATATGGCGACAAAATTTGCTATGGAATAAAGCAAAGTATCTTGTCGGTATTGTTTATTTGATACTCACGGTATCTTCATGTACTTGCATAAACTAGATGCGAAAGTAGAATGAGAAAATTACAATGAGCTTCCATACAAGGAAAACAGTTAAAAAACAAGTCTTAGAAATTGTTATTTTCACTATAAGACTTGTTATTATAGGTTGTTGAGGTTGTTATTGGGATCTTTTGGTAATTATTTTTCTTCTGTGGGGTTTGATTATAATTTCCCAAGTAGAATTGTTATACTCCTACACTTTAATAAATAAACAATTATATAATTATACATATACTGTCTATATGTTTTTATTGTTTCAGAAATATATTTTATTGTTTATATTTTCAAAATCCGCACTATGAGAAACAACTATACACCCATGCAGATTGTATATTTCAGACCTGATCATAAAATTTAGTATATTTAAATTGACAATATTGATTTTATTTCATATGTATATATTAAAAATGATTGTATATTTTCAAAAATTTTATTTTGATGTTACTCTTTTTTTGGTTAAAGCTATAAATTCACTTTTTTGAATAAAATCATATTTGTATGCATAAATAATGAATTAATACACACTATATTATATAAAGATCAAGGGTATTGAATTTTCAACTTTAGTAAAAAATATATTTTTGAAATGGAAAAAAGATTAAGGGTATTTTTGAATAGCAGGAAATTAATTTTTATAAAATCTAATATTATTCAATGATTTTTTTGTCTCCGGAAAAATTGTTTTTGTGACAAGAAATATGAAAGGGAGGAGTACTGCTACACGTGGATACAAAATGGTATTAAATGCATCAACATGCCATTGCAACAAGATACTGATGACTAATAGTAAATAAAAAAATTGGTAATATAATATTTTATGTTGTTTTAACGTGAATAGACTAAGTAGGCTAAAATGAATAGGCTTATTATTTTTAATTTATGCATGGTATAACTCTTATGTTATTTGTAGAAAAATATAAAAGTTCAAGCTTCATGTTTTGGGGACGCACTAAAAGATAAGAATAAACAATAAATTTCAACAACTTTTTTTTCCCCAACAGAAAGCTAGGATAAATATCTGATGAAAGAAATCTTTTAGAAAATGGGCAAAAACAATCAAGGTCAAGAATTATGAGAAAAAGTTAATCAAATATTTTTGGTAAAATTGTGAAAGAAAGAGCAAATACCTGGCTTTGATGGCTGATCTCTTTAGTAATAGCTCTTCTACGTACCTTTTGCTTTGAACTGTGAGAAAAGTTAAGAGAAACTTAGACCTCTCCAGGTATGTGGAAAATGGAGGATTTGAAACATGTATCTATAATATTTAATTTGTAATGGATAATTCTTAAATTACGTGTCGATCGTTCTATTTAAATACTACTTTTGATTCTTAATATAAGAGTTTTTTTATTTTAGTTCTAAATATAAGATTCTAATCCACTTTGTTTCTCATATTTATCTATTTTTCTCAAGATGGTTTTGATAATAATGATATTTCTAACGAATATACTTAATTAGCAAAGATATTTTTAAAAAAATAACACTTATTTATCACAAATAACTAACTTAACTAATTTTTTAAATCTATTCAAATTAGTCAATTAGTTCTTATATTAAATACTGAAAATGAGCTTTCATGGAAGGACATAGTCCAAAGACAATAATAAAATAAATGTAAATCTTGTAATTTTTTTTTTTCCGCACGATCGGATTTTTTTATCAATTTGTGAAAAGAAAGGAGTGTACACCTTTGCTTTAATGACCGATTTCTTTAGCAATAGTGATCTTCTCCACACCTTTTTGCTTTGATGAACTGAAAGGAAAGCGAAGAGAAACTCAAAGCCGGCTAGGAAGAAACGTGAAAAAGTAGAGAATTTGGAATAGGTCCCTACAATATTCAATTTGTAATGAATCATTCTTAAATAGCATGTCAGGTTTCATTCTAATCAAACATTAAATCAAACAAACTCTAGATGAGCATTGTGTCAGGTATAAAATTACGCTTTCATGGAAGCACATAATTCTAAGACAATAATTGCTGGTCAAAAATAATTCTAAGACATATATAGTACTACCTCCGATCTTTAATATAAGATTTTATTTGATTTTTATTTTGATTTTAAATATAAAACTCCAATCCACTTTATCTCTCATATTTATGTATTTTTTTCTAAAGTAGTCTTTCTAACAATGATAGTTCTAACCAATACATTTAATTAATAAAAATATTTTAGGAAAGACAACACATATTTATTATAAATAACTAACTTGACTTCTTTCCTTAATCTCTTCAAATTAGTCAACTAGCTCTTATAATTAGAACCGAAGGTAGTAAATGGTAAATCGCATAACCTAATTTTAGTACTCATCACATTGATAAATATCATAGTGCTTATTCTTGTGATAACATCTACACCTTTTAAATACAATTTTAATGGTTCAAATTTAAATTTTTCAAATGATAATTTTTAAATAATAAAATTAGTTTTTTGAAAAACTAGCAATTAAAATATTTTTTTTATTTTAAATAATATATATACTCATTAAAACAAGGAAAAATGGCAAATAAAGACTCGATCTTATGTTGCAAATATGAAATCTTGATGAAATGTCTAAAATGCCCCTCAGCCAAGTTGTAATTTAGTCTATTGAAGTTATCATTCGCTAAAATGAACTTGTCATTCCCATAGATACTTGTCAAATGCATAGCCTTAACCAAGTTGTGATTTAGTCTATTGAAATTGTTATTCGTTAAAGTGAACTTGTCATTTCCCATAGTCAACTTGTCATTTGGCTGATAGGCGTTTCAGATATTTCACTAAGATTTTATATTTACAATATAGGACCAAACATTTATTTGTTATTTTCTAAATTGAGGGTTCCAAATCACAATTTCATATATTAAGCGTCTTTA